TCATAAAAAAAATACAGGCTGTCCCCAGGTTACGAACAAGATCTGTTCCTAAGTGTGTCTTTAAGTCGAGTAGGTAAGTCCGAACAGGTGCATATGGTTCTGATTTAGCCTTACTTTAGTGCAAGAAAAGCCTTAAAGCCTTTCATTGATTTAAAAGCTGCATGTGCAGCAAGTGAAGGTAGTTATGATGAAGACTTTGTTGTGAGTAGGAGTTGGTTCAATTGTTTCCAAGTGAGGGCAAATTTACATAACATTAAAGGGCAAGGAAGAGTTATCCTAAATCAGACATTGGTAACCCAGAGACTTACTGTATACATACATAGTATGATTGGCAGGCAGCACTAGGGGCCCCTTGAGGCTAGTGATCCTGCATGTAAAGAGAGTGCAGTCAGTATGGTGGTGGGGTTTTCCTTAGCCATGTTCAGCTGCTTGGAGGCAGGCACTGAGTTGGTGGAGATGGGCATGGTGGTGTTGGTAGAGAGCTGGATGCAAGTATGGGTGGAGTATGTATATATATATATATATATGTAGTGACTGCAATTAATTGTAACTTGCTACTCTTACAGGTTCTAAATCTCTAAAGAGGCACAAAAGGAAAAAATAATAAAAATGTGTGATATAAACAGTCTACCTACAGAGGTGAGTCAATTGACCAATGCTCTTTAACTCAGAGATCAAGAGGATGCAAACCATTTTGCTTGTAAAGAAATGTAAGACACCGATCGATTTCATGCAACATCTTCTTCCTGTGGGGGGAGTTCAAGTACACGTTCTTAGGGCAATAGTAATAGATGTTCAAGTAGAGGTTGGGCTGCACTGCCTACATCCCACCATTCAATACTGAAGCACTTATGCTCCCAGATGCTGGGAGCATTGGAGCTGATAGCTCTCCAAGGATTGCCTGGGGCTGAAGGGAGCTGCTTTACTCAAGGTCAAGTCCCTCCCTGGTGGCAACCAGCATCTATGTAGGAGTCCAAAGGCCCTGCCCCTTCCCTCGGTTTGAAATGATTCTGAAGGACCATCCCTTCCCCAGAGCTCCCAATAGGGTGAACTGAAATCTTTGCTGTGATTGCCTCACAATTTACCTCCCTGGGCCCCATCTTGCCTACTTTACTTCCTCACAGATGTTGATGTGAGAGCACTTCCCAATGCCCTTCTCGCTTTTAAGGCTCCATCTCAGTATCAGCTTCCTGGATAATCAACTTAAGGTGGGTATTTTGTGTTTGTTTGTTTGTTTGTTTTTTCCTGCTTGAAATCTAAGAAATGCTTTAGAAAAACTAAACTAAAGAAATAAATTAAATAAAATAAACACAGACTCACTGCGTTGATCCAGGAAAAATACTGAAACTCAGGTTAACAAATAGATTGTAGATCTGAAGCCTAAATCAGCCAACAGATGCCACACCTGAGAAATTTATGTTTAATTCACCCCTTTAACCCAGTAAACACTCTGGAATGTCCTGATTTATGGGGCACCAGTTTTACACCTGCTGAGCAGGCAGTTTGGTGATAAAAGCCTCTAGGAGTGTCATGTTGGTGTAGGGGAGGGGCCGTGGCTACAGGAAGTTATCAAACTCCTCGTGAGAATGGCCAAGGGGAGATTGCTGTCTCATCTCAATTTTCCAGTTCATCACCAGTTCTACCAGCATCTGGGAATGCAGGTTGCCTCCTGATCTATTTAACTGTTTCTATACCGTTACCATTCCAGAAATTTTATATCCTCAAAGCTGTGTCTGGCCATCTTTTTGCCAATATGGGACCATTCCACTGTGATGGGTGTAGCACTACCGTCCACCTGTCTGACCAAACTAGAAATATGGGATTACCCTTGTTTTTTCCCTTTATCTCATCTTTTATGCACTCAGCTGCCAAGACTTGTTGATTTTATCTCTGTATGTCTCTATAAATCAGCTCACTTTTATTACATCTGCCTCTTGCAGTTGAAACACAAATTACTTCTTTCCTAAACTATCATAAGAGTGTTGTCACTTTGCTTCTAGTCTTGAATTGGAATTCTATCTCTAATACCTATTAAATTCTCTGAAGTTCTTCATTCTCTTCTCACTCTTTCTCTTTTTTCTCTATAGGCCCTTCCTAGGTGATCTTGTCTACTTTTGTAGCTTTGATTAATGCGACATGCTTCAAATGCAACAATATCCATCTGAGACTTTTCTCTGGAGGTCCAGACCTCTAATACCTAGCTGCCAATACTTCAAACCCAATTTTCCAAAAACGAATTGACCAAGTCATCATCCAGGGTATGGTTTTTGACCTGTCCTTTCCATAATCTCCCATGTCAAATCAACCATCCAATCTCCCTAACTCCACCTCTTAATTATCTCTTGGCCTTATCTTTCATCACTACCTCTGTTGTCACTACTCTGGTCCCAGCCCCACTGATTTAACAAGTTTTTTGTTTTTCAATCTGGGAGATCTGCATCAGCCTCTTAACTGGTTTTTTGGTCTCTACCCTGTCCTCCTGTGATCTATTTCTCCTAGGGCAGTAAGCGTGTTCTTTCTAATCTGCATTTGTCTGCATGAAATCCTTCAATGCCTTCTCATTGTTTTTATAATAAACATCCACGGCTTATAAAAACCCATTATAGTGTGGCCCCTGCATGCTTCTCAAACAGTCCTTCACCCCACATACGCCCACTCTCACTGACAACACTCCAGTCATTGGAATTGCTTAGTTCCTTGAATGCACAATGCTTTTTCTTACCTCGAGCCATCTCATACCATGTTCCTTCTTCCTGAAGACCCCTCCCTTACTCATTACATCTTGCCTTACTCATTACTTTGTTACTTACTATCCAGCCTCTGGAAGCCCTGGTGGCATAGTGATTAAGAGCTACAGCTGCTAACCAAAAGGTTGGCAGTTTGAATTCACCAGGTGCTCCTTGGAAACTCTACGGGGCAGTTCTACACTGTCCTATAGGGTCATTATAAGTCAGAATCAACTTGACAGCAATACGTTTTTTTTTTTTGTATCCACCCTTCTGATCTCATTTAACTTCCTCTTCGTCCTACAAGTCTTCACTGAACACCCAAGTTCAGGTTAGATGTTTCTCTTCTTTGCTTCCATGACATCCTCTACTTACCTCTACTGACATCCTCTACTTACTCCTACTGTATCTATTAGCACATTCTATGGCAAATGCTTGTTTCATGGTTAGCTCCCAGAGGGCAGGGACCATGTCTGCCTTGTTTACTTTCATATCCTCAGATAGTAGTGTAGGGCCTGGCATAATACATGCCCCCAAAAGAATCTGACTTGCTTATTGAACTAATAAATGCCTTGGCATAAGCAGTGCCCTCTTCTGCGAATGTCCTCCCTTTGTACCCTTGTTCACTTGGCAAACTTCTGTTCACAATTCAAGTCCCAACATAATGCCCTACTGATACCCTAAGTAAGTCACAGGGGACCCACATTACCCTCCTCCCCATCATCACCTTTTATTGCATTATTTTCTTGTGAGTCTCTTTGCAAACTAGACTTCAAATTCTTTGAAGGCAGGACTATCTTTTCTTCTATGCTATTTTGTACACATTACTAGTGTAGAGCATGTGCTCAAATACTTGCTAAAGGTAGGACGGATTGTAATAATAAAACTGGGCTGATTTGCTTCTAAAGGTGATACATTTGACTTAAGGAAATTACAAAAGAGTGTTCCACACGTTTTGTCCATGGGTGCATCACTGTAATAAGTGTTTATCTTATCATGGGTACTAGTCACTAAGTTTCAAGATTTTAAGTTCTCTTGTTACATTGATGTTCATGCCTCACCTATGTTCTTTGCCCTGATGTAGTCAAGGTTCAATCACATGGAAGACTCCATGCCCACCTGATATTATTCCAAAGCAAGTTTTGGAAAAAAGAGATACATGGGGCATCATAAATTCTTTGAACTGATTTGGGGAACATATTAACAAAATGCAAGGCCTTTGCAGGTCTCTGCATGTTTTCCATGTTGTCTGTCCTGTTAGCTCTGTGTCTAAAGGGGATGATGCAGAGTTTTATAGGTTAAGTATTGAAAGCAACTAGATTAGTGATTCTGCCCTGGGGATGATTCTGCACCTCATGAGATATTTGACAATGTCTACAGGCATTCCCAGCCAATGCACCTCGTGCACAGCCACCACCCATCTGTCAGTGGAGGCTTGCATGTTGATATGATGCTGAATGAGTTTCAGCAGAGATTCCTAACTAAGGCAGACTAGGAAAAAAAATGCCTGGTGTTCTACTTATGAAAATCAGCTAATGAAAACCCTATAGATCACAATGGCCTAATCTGTGTCCAATCTGCAACTGATCACAGGATGGCGCAGTATGTGGCAGAGTTTAGTTCTGTTGTGCACGGGGTTGTCATGAGTCAGGGACCACAGCTCGACAACAGGCATTTTTGGTTGTCAAAAGTGTGTGGGGGATGCTATTGGCATCTAGTGGTTAAAGGCCAGGGATGTCGTCAAACATGCTACAATGCACAAAGCAGCCCTCCACACCAAAGAATTATCTGGTCCAAAATGTCAGTGTCGAAGTTGGGAAACCATGACCTAGATGTAATAAAAATCTCACATGTCACTCAGACCCACTTGTCTATTCCAAGATTGATTGTAAATAATACTCATCTTAAGAACCAGAAGACCAGGGTACAGTCCCCTCCCCTCCATATGCCCTTGTTCTTATATTTCAATTTATTCATCTTTAAAATGGTATTTCAATATCTATCTCATGGGGGTATAAAAATTAGATATGTTAATGTATGGCACAAGCTTTAGTTCAGTATATAGCAAATAGTTGCTCAATAAATGTTTGGGAAAAAAACTAGTTCATAAATGGACAGGGAATGGGGCTTAGGGAGAGGAGATAAATAAGATATACCCTGAGTACTTCCTGAGCATCTCACTCTTTCTAGGGTCTATACACACATCTCCACTTCTGAGAACACTTTATAGAAGGATAGACATTGACAAAGATCCAGGGTGGTGCATATACATACTTTTTGTTCTTCTCGCTCTACAGCTGCGTTGCATTTTTCTATTCCCCACTTTCTCAAAAAGTCTCTGAAATGGCCAAACAGGGTTCCAAGTGCATATCCCAAGTAAGTGAAAACCATAACGTAAAGCGGTGCTTCCTCAAAGGTTTCAACAATTGGCTTATAAAAATGTGGTTTTCCATTTTGCTGAAAACACAAAACAGAATCAAAGGTTAGCACTCTCCCATTATAAATGTACTATGATGCTTAATGTTTTGTACTACCAACAATTTTTTTTATTTTTCATCGAGCATATTTAGAATTGTAAAAGCTGCTTGTAAAAAATTTCAAATTGATAATTTGAAGATGGTAATCTGAAATGTGAATTCTATTTTACAACCCCTAATGTAATAATTGATTCAGGTAAAAATTCTCAACAGATGCTAAAATCATTAGGTGAAAAGTTAATGGAAACCAATAGCATGCTCCCTAATCAGGAACCTGGGATCCCTACCTAAACCAGGTGATCAAATTACATCACAAATGTTGGTAGGAACCAGCCACTCTGTGTTCCTACCATGATGTAATATTCAATATGCAGTATCACCTATGAAACATTTTTGCCAAAAATATTTAACCTTAATTTATTTAAGCTCTTATATCTAACTTCCAGTTTACAAAAAATATAAAGAGGCCCTGGTGGCACAGTGGTTAAAGCGGTTAGCTGCTAACCAAAAGGTCAGCGGTTTGAACCCACTAGCCACTCCTCGGGAGAAAGATGTGGCAGCCTGCTTCGGTAAAGATTTACAGCCTTGGAAACCCTACAGGGTCTCTATGAGTCAGAATTGACTCTAGGGCAGTGGGTTTGGATTTTTGGGGTTTTATCTGGGATTGAGGAACATGTTAAATGACTTCATGAAAAAACAATCAGATAATCCAGAACGTGAGACTTTCTATGTAACAATTGGCCTCATCTTTTAAAAAACAACTCTCATAAGAAAAGAAGGGTGGGGAGGGCTTAAGAGACATAAGAACAAAATATAGTGTGTGCTCCTTGATTAAATCTTGGCTTTTTTTGTTTGTACAAATAGGCAAAAAAGACATATTTTAGACAACTGTGAAAATTCAAATGTGAACTGTGTATGATATATCATTAAGGAATTTTTGTTAATTTTATTAGGCATAATAGTAGTATTACAGTTATGGAGGAGAATGTTTTAGTCTTTGGAGACACATGCTGAAGTATTAAGGGTGAAGTGTTATGACAGCTACAATTTTGTTTCAAATAGTTCATGAAAGATTAAATATATAGATGAAACAAATTTGAGGAAATTCTAACAACTATTGAATATTTATGGAGTATATGTATATGGGTGTTCATTATATTGTTTTTCACTTTTCTGTGTGTTTGAAATTTTTTTTTAGAAGTTAAAAAATATCTTTACTTTTAGTATATTACAGTGGAAAGTAGATTCTTAGCACCAGACCATTCTGATGCCAATTTAATTGATTTGCATATATAACTCAATCAATGTTTGCTTAATAGATTAGTGAATAAATGATCCTTAATGCTAACATTTAATTAATATTTAGTTTTTCCTAATAATTTAGACATTCATTCACTAATTCAGTCAACAAATATCATTTGCACCCTAAAACAATGCAATCCAGGGTTCCCCATTTCTTGTTGAGATGATTCATAAGAAGTATTTTGAACATATTTAACTTTTAATGACTAACAAGGTATTGTCAACTATATGCTAGTATTTAATATAACTTAGTTTACATATATATTTGTAAGGATGCATTATATAAAATCACGTTAATTAGAAATACTTATTTTTGGCACTTTCATAATTTATGAAGCTAATGCATTCAATCTCCTCTCATGTGTCTTTGGCATCAGTGTCTTTGGCATCACTACAGCCACCATTTGATTCTACCAGCACAGTTCCCTAGAGCATATCACCTTCAATTCCTCCTACATTGTCTAAGATGTAGCATTTTCTGAATCTCCACATCATCCAGACACTGGAAATTTTATCCCAAGCCACATGAAACCATCCACAAAATAGATGACAATTACAAACAAAACCTTTCTGGTAGATAAATATTTTTGATATCCACATTACTAGTTTTTAAAGCGTTTTTTGAAACATGTATTTATAATGACATCTAATACTTGAATTGTTGTATCAAAACTCCATGAAATATTATTAAATCTTATTAAAATTCTTTATCTCCTTATTTATCCACTATGTCAGGTAACCTCTACAAACACCTCAAACTAACATTGATGGATGTTGTTTCAGTCTAATGTGTCTTCCCAAAACACTACCTGGTGAGTTAAAATAATGAAAATGAGAGAGCATTTCTTAATATGGGGTCCTGAATGAAAGGTTATAATCTTGCCTTGTATTTGGGAACATAGGGCATTTATTGGGTACCTAACAGGGGCTGGCAATGTGGCAGACTCTAGGGATTAAAAGATGAACAAGACAGACCCAGACCCTGATTTCCAGGTGCTTTGAGTCTGGTGGGAAATATGGCCAAGGAATTAATACTGATCATCCCCAGGTTACGAACAAGACTTGTTCCTAACTCTGTTTTTAAGTCTTTAAGTCAAATTTGTAAGCCTTACTTTAGCACAAAAAATGATTTAAAAGCGGCACATACAGCAAGTGAAGGTGATTGTGATGAAGAATTTGTTGTGGGTAGGGATTGGTTCGATGTGAGTCAAAATCAACTCCATGGCATTGGGTTTGAGGGATTGGTTCTATTGTTTCAGAGAGAGGGAAAATAACATTAAAGGGAAAGTACGAGTTGTTCCTAAGTCTAGCATTTGGAACCTGGGGACTGCCTGCACACAATTTTTGAGTTCTGTGTCATCATTTAAGGTAGTAATAACAGGGAGAGAAGAAGGTAGCTAAAACAAAAGTAATGACATGACTCGAAGAAGGAAATTGGGAGGCAGATTTGACAGTGTTTGGTGGATAATTGGAAGTCAGGGGAGAGGAAGGAGGCAAAACTATCTGATGATCTGCTTGGCACGAGTGGGAAAAGGAGGGGTCATCCACTGAAATGAGTTAGGGGAGGGACTAGAAAGGGGAATATAGCTTTGTATTAGAGAGTTTGTATGTGTGGGAGATGAAGTGTCTAGTTCTAAATATGTTAAGTTTGTTGGGAAGTGAGGCTGTCCAGTGGGCTGATGCAAAGATAGAAGGCAGGATATCTGGGCTGGATATAAAAATCAGGACAGTTTTATACAGAGAGTAACCCAATGCAAAGAATTTGTTGTGATCATTCAGGGTGAGGCAAGAAGGGGGCCTAGAAAAGAGCTATGAGATTTACCAATATTTAAGGCATGAGAAGAGGAAGAGGGGCCTAGTTGAAGAGTGCATATAGAGATCTGAAGAAACCCAGAAAAATCTGGTAGCATTGGTGGCAAATGCAGCCACAGTGAACTAAGGAAGAGTTGGACTATTGAATGAGAAAGTCATTGGTATTCTTGGGGTAGAAATTGCATTGCTATGAGCTGAGGTTTGATTAGGGGCAATGGAGACAGTGGGTTGAGAGGATAAAAGAAAGAGAATGGATGGTCAGTAGAGGGGGTTCCCAGAGAACACAGAAGAAAATGGGGCACAAAGCATGGGTTGTGGAATTGATCTTGTTCCATATTACAGGCAGCATATCACAGGAAGGAAAGAAGGTTTGATGTTGTAAAGAGAAGGAATTATTCAAAAGTGTTTCTAGTTTGTCTTTGAAGTGGGCACGAGGTCTCTTTAGTGCAGGTATTTGATACATCTAAAAATACAACAAATCAATTTGTTTTCCCATGTCATTCTATTTACAATCTTTTACATTGGGTTTTTACAACTAGTTCTATTTAATAGACTTTGGAATTAATGTTTACCTAACCGACTTTAGCTTTTCATGTGTAGGTAAAGAAACATATGTAAATATGTTGTTCTCAAGCAACATACAATGTTCTGAATTTTAGCTTTTGTGAGGGGGATTTTGCTTATCTCCCCTACTAGATCATGATGACCTTAAGGATGGAATTATGTTCTATGCCTCACTGCATTTCCATTGGTTGCCCAGAACAATATTTTGCGCATGATAGGATTCAATAACTGCTTGTTGAATAAATGATTTTTCCATTGATGATTCTTTAGACGTACGGTAAGTTTCCTACAAAGATAACCACCAGTCATTCATCCCTTTCATGCACATGCACACTGATCCTCCCATTAAGAGGTGGGGCCTATTTCTCCTCTTGAATCTGGGATGGCCTTGTGACTTGTTTTGACAAGAAAAGTAAGGTGGAAGTGACGCTATGCCAGTTCTAGGCCAGCCCTTAAGAGACATGGCAGCTTTTTCTGTTGCTCTCTTTGGATTCCTGAGAAATCACGTGAGGAGTCTGACTTCCCTGATGAAAAGAGAGGCCACACGGAAGGAGCCTCTGGAAGATGTGCAATTATTGGGGGTGGAGAGGAAAGAGAAAAAGAGAGAGAAAAGGCAAACCAGGTCACTGCCATTCTCATCACTCCAGCTGAGGCCAAGACATGTGAATGAGGCCATATGAAACATTCCAGCCCCAGCTGAGCTCTCAGCTTAATGCAGCTACATGTGTGACTGCAGCTTTCTCCTCATGAACAGAGACAATTGTGCCTACTAAACCTTGCCCAGATTGCAAAATCATAACCAAGTAAATGGTGATTGTTTTAAGCCACTTAATTAAGTTTTGGGATTTTTTTTACATAGCCATAGATAACTGACAAATAGCTTTCAAATAGGTTTCAAATTCTACTATTATATGTGCCTAAGGATATAAGAACATAAATATTGTGTTTTTGTTCTTTTCAGTTCTTTGAGTAATTTGCTGTTTTCAGGTTTCTTTTGTTGAACCATGGGATGTCCCATACGATGGATCACTTTTACATGGCCTTTCTCACCATGGTCTTGTAACTCCCATGCAGGTGATAGAGTGCAATGGTGAAAATAAGGTAATTGTGGCCTACCAAGGGGATTGGACAGCTTGCTAATAATGCAAATAAAGTTCATGGTACCAGTGTGGGGGTGGGGACATGCAAATAAGGTCAATGGAACCCTAAGGAAGGGATTGGTGAGTTTTGCCATCCCACTAGCCTTAAAACAAGCCACCCTAGAGCCAGAAAGGGGAGGATCTCACCACCACCAAGGAAGAA